TGGAAAGCAGCGGTTTTTCCTTGTCTGTTTTTAAAGAAGTAAGCTCTTCACTGTCAACTCCCTTGAGGCTCCATCTAGTCCTCAGAGTCTGTAAACCCAGCAGAGCAAGTTAAGGAGACAAAGAACCAGAACTTGTACCAAACACTGTGCAAAAGATTGCCCTGTAACAAACAGGATCAAGTTGCCCGTTGTTTATTTCCTTGAGAGAAAGCTTGTACTCTGTGACTAAATAAAAAATGCTGAGCCAGCTTAAATAAAGTTGGGGAATTAGTAAATGAAGCTTTGCTTGCAACATTTTCTACCTGAATAAAAATCGCATTAAGATTTCTTAACAAGCTAACCAATGTTACCTTTAAGCCACACAGAGGACAAAAGGATATTCGATTATACTCTTGTATATGATAAACAATAACAGTTCTCTGGTCGTCCACTATTAAAGTTAGAGTTTGCTAGAGTGTTGCTACATATGTTATTCACCAGCAAAACAAGTGTCCATTTATCTTTAGAATTTTATCTTTGAACTGTTGTTATTGTGGTTATCGGACATGTTTCCTAGAAAATGAATAGTGTCTTTTTCTAAATCATTTTCTTCTGGAATGTTTGTAATTCTTCACAATACTCACTTCACTATTTGCAAATGAAGTAGCTCAAAATGAGAGACAACTCAAATGCCAAAACTTGTAAAATAGTCCTAGACAATGGACGATAGGCGAGATATCACGATGTTGAGCCAGCATCGTGATTCCCCGCACCTCCCCCATGGCAGCAGCAACAGCCAGCCCCGTAAAACATAGCATAGAACTACTTGTAGTTAAATGCGTTCGAACAGCCGCTAAAGTACGCCTGCTCTCTGCCTACTGAACTCCTTCATAAACAGAGCAAGATGACCTGTTGAAATAGAAACCTGTACTCCTGCGGGAGTACTGATGCAACTGAATTACCATCATTGCACCCAATGTCAGGGTCAATCATGATGTTTCACATTAGAAATCCTTTGATGACTTATTAGTTGACTTTGACTAAACCTAAAAGACAGACAAAACATGTGAAGTAAAACGTTATTAAGTTTTAAAGTACAGTGGCTTGGGTATAGTGGAAATAACAGAATATAAATGCATTATGGGAACAAAACTATATTTTTATAAATTACGGTATATTAGATGTGATCCTGGATGTATTATGTTGCATGGGTACATGTTTAGCAATAGCAAAAATACATTGTATAGTTCAAAAATCATTTAAATATTAAGGAAAAATAATGGCTGTGTCAGAAATTGCATACTATTCAGTAGACTGCATTTGAATTTAAATTTACTACTCATCCATTACAAAAGTATGTTCTATACAGTATGAATGTGAGTAGTATGAATGGTACTCGGATGTACTACATCCGCCATTTAGTCACGGTCACGTGACCTACCAGCGTCAATTTCGTCGCATCACTCCCATTCATGAATTCTTACGTGGTGCGTCATGGTAGAGGGTAGCGTCCATCGCATTCACACTTCAGAATCTCGGTGGAAGTAGTAGGTCATTTGTGTACTTCTCACATACTGTTTTTTGAATTCTATGAATTCGGACACACTGCTTGGCTTGCATAGTGTTTTTAATGTACTATATTGTATGGAAGTATGCGATTTCAGATGCAGCCTATAAGTCATTGAGATATTTAGTCAATTTTCATTTGTAAATAATCAAAACTCTTATCTTTGATCATTGCTAAGCTCTTAATTTAGAACACTTTAAAGGAGATTTGTCTTACTATATTTTTTTATTTGATTTTCAAAAACCTGTATATCGGCCAAACATTGTTCTAAAAAACTACAGTAAACATCACTGGATAGCTTATTTATTCAGTTTTTCAGAACATGTATAAATCACTTTTTTAATTATTACACATTATATTAGTTACAGTAGGGGAAATAAGTATTGAACATGTCATAATTTTTTTTCAAAAAACATATTTCTGTTAACTTGACATTTTCACCGGATATTGGTAACAACCAAAGAAATTTACATAGGCAAAGACAACAAATGTTATTAATTTACAAATTAAGTTAGTTGTAATAAAATGAAATGACACAGAGAAAAAAAGTATTGAACACATGAAGAAAGGGAGGTGTAGAAAGGCAGTGAAAGCGCAGACAGCAGCTGAAATCCCTGTGTAGTTATTCAGCAACCCTCTGCCCTTCGTCAGTATAAATGAATATTAGCTGCTTCAGTCCAACATCAACATTACTAGGATGATAAAGATGAAACCAAGATGTACATTTCAGCAAGACAATGATCCACTTCTCAAAAAAGTTCTCAAATGCTTTCTGAAAAAAAAAAAAACTTTAATTTGTTCAAATAATTTTTTTAAATAAGATTTAACATGACGAAAGATAGCCTACTTCAAGAGACAAATTCAATTGACAAAGAACATTTATATATATTTATATATATATATATATTTTTTTTTTTTTTTAAATCAGTATGCTGTACAATTCTGGTAGAAAGAATACTTTTGCACAAGTGGTCAAAATGTCCGCCCAAATAGAGAAAAGATTGCTTGCTAGAAGAAAAAAAAACAGACAGAACACTGCAGCAAGGTATAATCTCAAAGTTTAACGGCTCATGTTTAATCGGATCGAGTTTTTCGACGACAGTATCCTCACTGTTCTGGCAGAGGTAAACTTTGGCCAGGGAGTGTCTATCTAGCTCTCTCTATTTCTTTTTTTTCTTCTTTTGACACAAACCTCACCTGCCCGATGAGATCACTGGATACTGATAACATTACAGGTCTTTTCAGGCAAGTCAGGTCTTTATTGCCCTTCAGCAAGCCCACGCTTTATTCCGCATGATACAATAAAATATCAGTAATAAACCAATAAATCACAATGAATCATTCTGCAGCATAAATTACACCACACCTGGCTGAATGTAGAGATCACAAGTCCACTTTCTGTTCAAATGTGATGAATTCGACCTCTCTTTTGTATGCAGGCCTGCTGTTTGCTCTCTGACGGCCTCCACCTTCTCCTCCTCCCCCATTTCATTCCTTTATGGCAGTCAAAGAGAGAGAGAGTCTTGCCCTTCTGAATAGGCAGACTGTTGACACAGCTGAGTGCAATGCAACGCACATGTGAAATGTCTCTAATGTTTAGAAATTGCAAGGTAGTGAGCCGAACAGGTGACTCTGGCTCTAAGTAGGCAAGTTTAACAAAGGCATTGTACACTTAGAGAACCGGAAGGCGGTCTATAGGAGGTATCAGGTTCCCACTTAAACCTATCAGAGCCACTTATCCGCTTCCAAGGCTACCATTATCATGGGCAAAGCATTATGGGTAGAGACTGTGGAAAGTAGAAATGCTCTTTGAAGGCCTGCTTTAGACTTTACACCTAGAGAAAGAAACGTATAATGTGTGTGAAGTGATTTGCACTGATTTGTGATGAAGAGAAGCCAAATACTGCGTGGTGGTGGTGTTGGATGTGAAGTTGAATGAATCATTGGTGACAAATGGTTGTGAAGAATTGCAGAAATGTTTGCTGTATGTTGTGTATCATATGGGGGATGTGGAGTGCCACTTGGAAACCAAATTAAGTAATTATTTACAATGTGAATATATAAGTTCATTTTAAATGGCATAAACGTGGAAACATTTAAAACATTGTGAACTGTTCATGTTAAAAAATGTAGCGTTCATGTTAAAGTGTAGCAAACTGTTCACCTTTATAGACCCATTTTAATGTGGTCATGTCATTGGCCGATGAACATTTCTTGCTTGTTATCAAACTATTTCGTAACTAACAATAGGCAATTTAATCATAACTTAAAACAGATATAAAATCCTTATTTATCAATATGTGGCTCTTTTTATATTCTTGGAAGCTATGGGAATAAAAACGTAAAACAGGAAATACGTTGGGAACATTGTTTTTGTTTACATCCCTCAAAATGGTCTATAATGACACTAGGGCTGCACAATATTGGAAAAATTTAACTAGGGATGCTTATTTTGGTTAATTAAGTCAAATTAATAATGATAATAAAAGAAAAAATAAAAGAAAAAATTAAGAGTAAGAGAAAAAAGGGAAAATATATTAAACTGAATAGGCTGGGGTGACACATTCTTTAAACTTGTGGTTTTACGTCAAGAAAGAGCTGTTTGCTTGTGCTATAGCACTAGTATTCATATGGAAGGTACAAACTAAAAGTGCAAGATGGACAACCTTTCATTCTACAGTAACTGCTTCAAGTAGCATGCTGCAAGAATGCCAACCAAATGTTAAAAAATGTAATCACTGAACCTCGAAGATTATATTAGATTCTTTCTAAATTTACAAAAAATAAGATGTCTTTCATAGGTGTCCATTGAGTATGGGATGGGGATAAGCAGACAGGGTATTCAAGAGGTTTTAAAAAGTGTTAAAAAAGTTCATTTTAAAAGTAAATTTTTCTATGACCAAGTAAAGCTACCTTATCAAGTCGATACCCAATCTTTTTATTTTTAAGTTTTTTTATTGTAAAGAGAGACAATTCACAACAGCTGTTAGACAGTTTTACTGCCAATTCCGCAAATTATATATTAATAAATTCCCTAATCAGGGAAAATTTTTAAAAACTAAAACCCTTTACATGATCTTTCATTAATACAAAAAATATTTACTGAACTAGTTGGCCCACTAGAAAGAATCCTTAATGTTTAGCCCTGTACAAGTCTAAACTTTCATTCACACTGGTCATAAAATGGCCTTAAAAAGTCTTAAATTCGACTTGAAGAAACCTGCAGAAACCCTGGGAGACTTCCACTGCAACAAAATAGAAAAGCTATTAATTCAGAAAAATAACTCACAGTCAGGGGTAGAGCTCCAAATAAGCGGAGAAGGATACATTTTACTAGATGTTTGTCCTTATTTTTTAAGTCGCTCCCAAAGTCCTCAATACATGCATATAGAAATAAAATAATTTTTAAAGTTGATAAGGAGATATGACCATGATTCTTCTTTCTTTTCCTCAGGAGTGATCCGCACACAGGAACTGCTGGATCATGAAACTGTACCTCACTACTGGCTGACGGTCTACGCCACCGACCGCGGTGTGGTCCCTCTATCTTCCTTTGTGGAGGTCTATATCGAGGTCCAGGATGTCAATGATAATGCCCCACAGACCTCAGAACCGGTCTATTATCCGTCCGTCATGGAGAGCTCCCCTAAAGACGTCTCAATCATCCAGATCGAGGCCTTTGACCCGGACACAAAGTCCAGTGAAAAACTTTCCTACAAGATCACCAGTGGAAACCCACAAGGCTTCTTCAGCATCAACCAAAAGACCGGTGAGTGTGTTTTCATCTCATATTACTTACAGTGTATGCTGAAGATCCTGCTGAGGTAGACTGGAATAAGCTGTGGGATGTTTTGATGTTTTTTTCTGTTCTATAAATTGTGGAAATACACAAGAATTGTGATTTACATGAAAATAAAAATTAGTAGGGATGCTCAGATCAGTCAGCCAGAGATGGGTATCGGCCCATAATCACATTTAATTACATAAACCGATCGCAAGTGTTTGTGTTAGTTGGAGATGATCATATTATTTGAATGACCTTGCTTGTTTTACAAACAAGAACTGAGACTTCTGTGTTTTTGACAATATTGCAAGGTCACTGAAACCTGGCTGGAAAATTATATATATTTAAAAAATGTAAAATGATATTTTAACATGAATATTAAATAATTTAACTTCTTGTAATATACTTATCACAATAAACAGTAGCATATAGGCCTATTTTCTTTTAGTAAAGAAGTGATGAATTCATAGGTTTGCATTTTAACTTCTTATGCATCAAATATGCTCTCCAAACCTTTTCTAGATTGAGGCATGTTGTTTCCAAACTGTATTGTTAGTCATTTTTCTTACTTTTTTAAAAATCTGTGCTATCTATTGTTTTCTGTAAATCTGACCATGATATGTTCACACTCAAATGGTTATAAGAGACGTATTTAAGGGATTATATGCAGCATCTCTTACTTATTCTCTCAGGTAAGGTGAGATCTCCATTTAAGTATCATACTTACATGGAAAATGTGCATTATGCATTATAAAGCTTAAAGCATCAGAATCGTTACTCATATTGGCCGATCTCCATGACAAGGAATCGGTACTTTGTATCAGCTGCAAAAATCCTGATCTGAACATCCCTAATAATTAGGAATGTTACTCAACCACCAAGTCAGCATACTAGAATGCTTTTTTAAGGATTGTGGGACACTTAAATGGGTAGTTCACACAAAAAGACACTTTCTGTTATCATTTGCTCATCTTTTACTTAACTCAAAAAAAAAAAAAAAAAAAATATATATATATATATATATATATATATATATATATAAATACTTTTATAAAAACGATTCAAGTCTATTCATCTTTATTTCTCTAGAGCTTTTACTATGTAGATTACAAAGCAGCTTAACATAGAAGTTCTAATAAATTGAGATGTGTCAGTCCAGTTTTCAGAGTTGAAGTTCAGTTTAGTTTAGTGTGGTTTGATTTTTACTGTTAAAAGTTCAAACACTGAAGAACAAATCCACTGATGCGCAACTTCACAAGTCCCAAACCAACCAAGCCAATGGCGACAGTGGCGAGGAACAAACTTCAACAATTGATAAAAGTAAAGGAAAAAAATACTTCTATAAAATGAGCTGAAACAACACCATTCTTAAATTTTTTTGGGAGGACAACTTAATTGTTTTTCGTTCAGTCTACTTACATTTGTGAAAACAATTAAGTGAACTTAATCGATTTGTGCTTAGACAACATGAAGGAAATGTGTAGAACCCAGCATTTTTTACAGTGTTTTATTGTTCTGTTGAACACAGAAGAAGCTATTTTGAAGAATATTGGAAAACTGAAACTACGGACTTAGGAAAAACAAATACTATGGAAATTAATAGAAATGTTTCAAACATTTTTGTTATATCTTTTTGTGTACAACTGAAAAAAAAAACTCTTGAAAATGTTTTCAGTTTAGATAGAGTTCATCTGTTGAACTGGAGAAATAATTATGCAGAATAAGCTTACATATTTAATATGTAAAAATTACATATTTAAATATATTCAGATAAAAAAACATTTATTTGTTATTTATTTAAAACACTTTATTTGTATCATTCATTTTCCTTAAGCTTAGTCCCTGATTATCACCACAGTGGAATGAACCGCCACTTATTTGTATGACATTATTAATTTTAATGAATTGCTGTTTTTACAGTATTTTTAAACAAGTAAATACACTGTTAGTAAAAAAAAATCTTACCAACCCCAAACGTTTGAACACTATTCAATCTATGAGTATTTGTTGACCAAACAGCAGTTTTGTTAATAATTTGTTAAGCTCATGCACAGCTCAGTGATTCATTTCCTCACTCAAACATGGTTTGCAGAGCATATTTTGTTTGAAAAAGCCTTTTTCATGTCACATCGACCTGTGTGTATACTGTGAAAATGGTCCATCAGAGTAAACATCCATCTACAGGACACACATACAAACAGACAGGAGGAGAGAGGTTAGCTACATCCTAATGGTCTTCTGAGATTCTTTGACTGCCATCAGTCCCAAACATCAGGTTTTTATGTAAATCTACTGAAGCATAAGGCTCCCTGAAAAAGTGTATGAAGACACACTCGCCTGCACTCATATCAGCGGGTTCTTGCTTCTTCACCCAGTCTCTCCCCCCCCCTCTCTGTCTCTCTCTCCGGCTGACGCTCTCTTCTCTTTCTCACTTTCTTCATGGATCACTGTGCACGCATATGGGGTTTACTAAATGGACCCACACTGAATATTTTATGCAGCCGTGCCCCCCCATCCTCTTCTCCCCTGTAAAAACAAGATTTGTGGGCTTACAGGGGAAGAGAAGCGTAAAAAGGTGCAAACAGCCGATCCAGAGGTCAGGCTGTCGTAGGAAACCTTGAAATGATTCACACTTCAGGTACAGGACTTAAGACTTTTCAGAAACATGTTAGGTCAGATTACCTAGCTTCAGCAATATCTGCTCCATTGTTGTCTGAACTTGTTTTAGAGCTAAAGTACAGACTTGTAAATCTCTGATAAAGAAGATGGTGATAGCTAGTGGCTACACTTCTTTTACTGTTGCAGTTTATTTTGCCATAAGGGAAAAAGAGAGAGGAAAAAATGAGCCAGTGAGATGACAGAGACTGCATCTATTTGATCAAAATACAGTTATGTTTTTACTTATTATTACAAGCTGAAATGTTAATACATTTTAAACTATAATTTATTCCTGTGATGGCGAAGCTGAATTATTTTGCAGTTATTACTTTAGTCTTTAGTGTCACACGATCCTTCTTAAATCATTTTAATATGCTGATTTTATAGTCTGGAGACATTTCTTATTTCTTTAGCTGCATAATATTTTTGTGCAAACAGTGACAGTTTTGTTCGGGTTTCTTTCATGAATGTGACGTTTAAAGCTGAAGAAAAGTTTTTATTTAAAATAATAGTCTTTTGCAAATCTTTTATAAAGCTTTTTGTGTGTGTGTGTGTGTGTGTGTGTGTGTGTGTGTGTGTTCAAAGCAGAAAAGTCAGTGAATCAAGTCATCAAAATTTCAGGATTAGGTAGCTTCAATAATCCTGAAATATGACTGTACACATAAACAAATCATGAAAGAATTGTTGATGTAAAACAAGAAATTCTATTCAGATAAATTCCTAAAAATGCAGTTGTAGCATTTTGTTTACTGAGATTGGAATAAAATATAAAATTTAGTTCTTTGGAATGAATTTAGGGAACTATTAAATAAAAACTTGTACAGCTGATGTCAGAATTATTAGCCCCCCTGTTTATTATTTTTTTTTCCCAATTTGTGTTTTACAAAGAAGATTTTTTTTCAACACATTTCTAAACATTATAGTTTTAATAACTCATTTTTAATATCTGGTTTATTTGATCTTTGCCATGATGACAGTAAATAATATTTTACTAGATATTTTTCAAGACACTAGTATTAAGCATAAAGGGATTATTTGAAAACGATGGTTTGATTAAGTTATTGTAAAATTATGTTTTTCCCGTAAAAATATAGCTTAAAGGGGGCTAATAATTTTGCCCTTAAAGTGGTTTAAAAACTGCTTTTATTCTAGCCGAATTAAAACAAATAAGGCTTTCTCCAGAACAAAAAATATTATCAGACATACTGTCTTGCTCTAAAATTTTTTTATATTAAACCATATGCTAAATACTATACTAAAAACTTAAAACTATATTAAACTATATAAAAACATTTTCTGAATGTCTTACAGACACTAAAAGCCCCAGTATACAGAGTACGCACAGTATAGAAATCAGAAAAGCACTGAAATGATGTCATTTCAAACAAACAACAAAATTAGTTTTTAGTTTGTTTCGGCAGTATGAAACAGCTCACCAAAGCCAACTTTTTGTGTTAGTTCATTCATTAATTTTGGGTTAGTTATAAACACTTTTGATCTACCATTGGTCTTTGATGATTATGCAATCAGTAGGTGCGTTCTGGAACTCCACCTTCTCTGACATGTAATCCGTAATCATTGAGTTTAGAGTAAAGGAGAGAGAGGAGAAAAAAACATCCTGCACAACAATACCAAGTTATCAACAGGAATAAACTGGTGGGTTGAGTAGCAGAGCTGATATAGATGTAACATCACTCGCGGATTTTAACGGTTTTCTCACAACAGGATGTGAAGCACAACCGCATCGTGCCATGTCTGATAAAGTTCTAAACATCATTTCATTTGCTGTCTATCCGCAGCAAATAGAAAGCATTTTGGTGTAAAATGCTGGGTTCCACACAATCGATTAAAATTAGGACAAAATAAAGGAATTAAGTTAAACTGTTGTTCCCCTTCGGTTGGGGAACTTCAGTGCCATGAATGGGAGGATTCGGATCAGAAGCCGCTTATCTGGAGAGTATTGAACGGGCCAATGAATGAAATTAATTGGCAGCGTAAGCTTGCGCAGGTGTGCGACATCTGCAATCATCTCAGCATATAAGCACACCTGAAGCCAGCAGACGCCATCCTTTTCGCTTCAGATCCTTTCTGAGTGAGTCGATGAGGGTTCCTCTTGCTGATCAGCACTTCAGAGCGAACGAGTGTGTCTCCCGGTCCAGAGTGGGTCTTCGCGGTGGCAGACGGTCGAGCTGGGTTACTCCCTTGCCTGCGGTTCTTTGGGTCCGGTCCTCCAGAGCGGTGCGTATAGTGGCAACTTTCCTAAAAGAGCAACACAGTCGTGCAGCACGTCCTTTTCAGGATGGCGCTCCGACTGTGCGTTTCTGGAT